CATCCATGGACTATCGTTGACAGCGTTAGTCGTCACTGATTGTAAGTCAAATAGTGAGCGAGTTGATAATTTTCCCTTGGGATGAGAAATAGAACTAAGGTGTTTTCGATAGATAGGTTAATCGAACCGACGTTCCTACGGAAGTCGATTCTAGGGGGAAGCTAATGTAACAGCTCAGGTTGGTTGGTTAAGAGTTGACCCCAAACAACCAAGCTTATGCCAAAACAGTATTGTTCAAGTATTCATTCACTTCCTTATTTTTCATAAGCGTTATATTCCCTATTATCTTGAATGTTGAGAGCCTTTGTTTGTCTGAACAGATAATCCCACGCTCCACTGTGACTGCGCGAAGATCGAAATAAAGACCTATTCACTACTTCTCTGGTTTCTTCTATCAATAGCACGAGGGTTACCTTAAGGCACGAAAAAGTGACGAAGAGGGTGATGTCCTCCTTCAATGCAGTTGTGTATAACCTCCCCGACCGCACACACCCATCTAAGTTAAGGGATATTTGCCTTAGAGCATGCGGTATGCCGAACGTTAACTGCAAAGTCATTCGCCTTAGAAAAAAGTCAGGCAGATCAACTTGCCCCCTTTTGTTTATGTTTGGCTGTTGTAACGATGCTAAGCAGTTTATTAATTTGAGCAAAAATGTTAGCTCACTAATTCCATACAAGAATATAAAAGTCACTCCAGACCTTACGCCCTGTCAACGTCGTGTAAGAAGACGCGAAGCGATAGAATTGAATGGGAGTGTTACAGTTAATAATCAGCCAGAGACAGTTTGCAACACAGCAAATAGTTTAAAACACACGAACAATAAGCATAACACCACTCCATTCAGAAAACCGAAAGATGTAGTTCACTGATGTGCGCAATCACATGCTAAGAAATCACACGAGGTTAGTCAAAATACAACATTTTAGATCCTACATAGGCGTAACCTTATTTCTGCACGAGTTTTCCAATATGTGTACCAGTTGAAATAATAAAAATACATGCTATCAATCAATCTTTACATGCGTTAGGCAAGCTTCTGAATGGCTCTTATACAATTGTTAAGTTATCAGTGTAATCAAACCATAGTGCTTCTTTTGAATTATGGTCTACTTTGATATAAGTACTGCTCTAATAATAGATCTAACCCTGAAATTATAAATTTGTTATGGTGCAACGGCCGAATCTATGAGATCTCACGCGGAAGGCACATTATTGTGTACCCTGATTCATTACGTTGTAACAATCATCAACATATAGCGAAGAACACACTTAGATTAGAGGTATAACAGTATATTTATTATGGACAAAAATAATGTTACACAAGACCACGCCTACAAGGTCGAGCCATGCCATCCGATGAATTCTAATTGATTCAGTTAATTCCTACCTCCTTCTTCATCGTCGAGTTTTTCTACGCGTTGAATTTGCCCTGCCGCATTTGTTAATATCAAATTAAAGTTATCACGTTTTTTACTATACTGTTATATCGAGTAATTTATGCCGAATAAAATTAGCAATCGCTTGGCTGATAAGTCCTTGGTAGACTCCAATTCTGAGTCACATAATACACCTCCAAATTCTAAAATAAGGCTGGAATTAACCCTAGTGTGGTCTGAAGAAGCTTGGTCTGATAGAACATTTTTAATAATTTGTTAGAATCAAGCGATACTTATCCGAAAATTGAACATGTGCATGTTTCAGAAAAAATTGAGATTATTTGTTAAAAGCATTTTACCAGAATGCCCTGCAGGAATACAGATTAACGGAATGATATTAGATAAGACGTTCGACAAAATACTGAACATCGAACACGTTGACTCCTTAAGACAGTCTTAAAGTTGATGCAAAAACAAAGCCTTTTGTAAACTAGTGCTCAAAGTTATAATGACACTTACATTCGAAAAAGTCCTGGTATTTCTCTAGAAAAAAGATTAGAACGAAAAATGGTGAAGTAAACCTCTGCTTAGAAAGTTTTTCGGTAATCAGGTCTTAGAGGCGAGTGTCACCGAAGCCTATATGGATAAGTCATTCTCTTAAGGAGTTTTATGTGCAGTTGCTCGTAGACTAGGAAATAAACTCGAGGAGCTAGGAGTATTTCTCACTTCTCTTGAGACCTGTATGGGTAGAACAAATGATTATCAAAAGATCTTGAATGTGTTTTACACAAACGATTGCACTCTATGTAATGTATTTCACGGGCTGGAAATATCAGTTGGAGAGCCAGAATCACTCATCGTAGCTGAAACCGGAACTTGCTAAGTGCGTGACTTTGACGTCACTACAAAATTGTCGGGATACAGCCAGCTTGAAAGTCATAGGAATAAATGCAGGAAAAAGGATGGAGTCTTTAAATACATAGTTAACAACATGAACACCCGTTCCTTTGTTTGTGAATATCATGATAAAGGAACTTAAGAAGTCACTAACTCACTTTCAAAGGTTGTGCATTTGAACTAACTGTCATCTTTCTTAGCCCAATCTGCTTTGCTGATGCTTTTGTTTATAGCATCTTCAGATATGGAGTAAAAATAACAGATATCTAATATTAAGATATTTTGATGCACCTGGTATTACTTAGACAGAGATGACCATCATAGGATCTGAAAACTTTCCACAGTGGGCTCCTGATGACGGTGTGGAACATGCTTTAGTGAAACATGTATCGGAATCCACAAATTCTGGTTTGAGACAAGGATCTTCTCTGTTAGTCCTAGTAATCACTGATGCGACCGAGGCTACTGCTTGTCCAAATATTCATCCGTTAGCTAATAGCGATCATGTTGCTTTGGCACTCATACTACACGCTTGTGACATAATGAACGATCAGGTTGGATCTCGCCCAAAGATGTGCAGAGCAAACGAGACCGAAATAAATGAGTTCGCTGCAACAACGGGCTGGTCAGCAAATACTAGCGCGTCGATTGAAGAGGCATGGGTTGTGTCTGAAGGGGCATATAGCTATAATAAACCACCGTTCACACAACTCTTAGCACCATGTAGACCGAATAAATGCTCACCGTACATAATTAAACGGATCAAGAAACGTCCTGAATGTGGAAAATAGCACTGGAGTAGGTTTATCTCTACAGATTTCGAACAACACAGATCAATTTATTGTAAGGCTGGGAGTGCTTGCAACTTGCTAATCAATGAGGTTGGATATTTCTAAGAAAAACAATCGTCTGGGGATTATGAAAATAGTCCTTAAAGGTTGTTCTCGTAAATGAACTCAGAGAAGTAATGGGATCCCACCACATTTGGTACAGGAAAATCCATTGATATTTGCAAGAAATGGCGTTGTGAAAGCTGAAGCTTTATCAGAATATTTTAGTGAAGTCGTGATGGTGAAAGAACAGTGGTAGTCGTGATGATTGCAGCTTGCTGATAAATTTTGTGGTCCAATGATTACTTCAATATCTCAAACCAGATATGTTCAGAGGTCCTAAATATGTTCATTCTAGGATCATGGAAGCCCTAGAAGATGTATGTACTGGTCCTCTGACATTATTGTTTGATATGTTTTTGTTGCAATTTGAACTGCAAAGAGACCTGAAGGACGCGATAATCAGTCAGGTTTACAAAGCGGGGAGCAGAGATTTGGCTATTAACTGCCGATTCGTTAGTTTAACCAATGTATTTGTAAAACTAATGGAAAAGTCTATTCAAACTTAGACTACGTGGGATGAAATAATCTTTTATTAAGAGGACAACATTGTAAAGATGACAAAGGTATTCGGAAATTTATAACGTCTTTACACGTAACACCTTTATAAACGAGGTATGTCAATCCAGTCAAAACAGAAGTCAGGAATGAATATATATTCGGAAGGCTATGGATTTAATCCAAGCTGGCTAATGGTTGTAAGAGGTGCGTAACACGAAGTACCTACTCGTGGTCTGGCGCGGATGAATGTCAGAGAGCCTTCAGCTAGCAGTGTCCATCAAAACTATTTGTTTACTGCAACAATGGATTGAGAAAAAGTGTATCATGCTTTAAAAATTTGCCCATTGCAAGAGCAAAACAGAGATTTAACTTCTACCGACCTAGGTAAAGCTTCTGACAAGGTTTTTCGGTTGGATCGAAGATTAAAACTGAAGAGTTTTAGGACTTGTTGTGAACTCATATATTGGATAATTGAATTTCTCAATTATAAGAGGCAGCGGGTACAAAAATGGGGCTCTATCAACATGGGAATCTGTAATAGTGGAGTTCTTCAAGGAACTATTCTCGATCTTTTCTTTTGACCTTACGTAAATGACTTGCCAATCGTAGCAAACTCATCTGTCCTACTCTTTGCAGATGATATAAAGATTTGGGGACTCATAAATGGTGGCAGATAGAATAATATTACAGGATGACCTAAATTCACTGGTTGGATGGATTAGTAGGTGGTCATTAAAAGTTAACTCAAACAAGAGTGTGGTGATGCAAATAAGTGACTATGATGTTGTGTTACTTGAATAAACGAACTGCAAAGATCCAGGAGTCGTAATAAACAACGACCTGGAAACCACTAGTAATACCAATTCTGTCGTTTCTAGGGTCTTATGGGCTATTCGTAAATCGAAAGATTTTTGTGGTGATGAACCAAAATGGCGAGAGGTTTCTCTGGTCTGTCGTATGAAGATAAACTGAGATATTTCAACCCATTTCCGTTATCTCACCGCAGGTTATGTGGTGATTTAATACTGGCGTACCGTGTGCTGAACGATGAATTTGTCAATGCTATGTTTTATATTGTTCTTTAATCTAGGGCTGGCCATTTGACGAGACATTTCAAATCACTTCAAAAACCACAATCAAGTCGTTTAAGTATGGATATCCGTTTCTCTCATTGAGTAGTAAATTGCCAGAACACGTAATATCAGCTCATTCTGTTGACGTATTCAGAGCGAGATTGAATCACCACAGCACTACAAATTCCAAGGACTAATATAGGCCGATTGACCTTCTATCTTAGTTACTGAAGGCTGACGATAAATATTCAATTTGAGTAGTATATACCGCCTAATAGGAAGAGTACGCTTCTTTGACCTGACAGGTGTTTTAACGTTTATTTTCCTTCTCAGTCCGGTTTGTTGGATGTATTAGTAAAATTTTATCACTCGCCAAAAAATTTGGAAGTGCTTAAAACCGTTATTTTAATTCACGAATAGCAATATTAAGAATGTATCATGTCATCTAGACGCGATCATCGTAATACCAATGATCAAATTTGCACTCAGTACTTTAGCTTTGTGTAAGTCACTATGTTGAGATGACAGGGCGCAAAAACTAACACTGAAACAATTGCTTTTATTGTCCTGGTGTACTGTCTCATCAGATTCAAATGGTTCAAATGGTTGTGGACGGAATAGAAGAAGCTTTCGCTTAACAGGCTTCCGTGTCTAGTAGCAGGGGATCACCAAATCCTCCAGGCAGGAACCTAGGTATGTTAACAATAAAAGAGGAAAAGAAATTGGTAAATCATAGTGCGATGCTGTCCTTGGTCCTTAAGAATAGGTCAAGTTGCCTCTTGAAGGACTCCTGAGAAGTCGCTTGGACTAGCTCGGCCGGCAGCGAGTTCCAGCTTTTGACAACTCTTAAGGAGTAGAAGTTGTGTCTACATTCCGTCTTGCTATGTTGTGTTTCCAGTTTCTGGGTGTTACCCCTTAGGTTATTGTTCGAACTAAGCTTAAGTAGGTGTTTAAGAGGATGTCCAGAAGTGTTAAGAATACTATAAGCCATTAATAAATCACCTCTAAGACGCCTATATTCTAGTGGGTAAAGGTCTAGTGAACGGAGGCGTTCTTCGTAAGGTTTAAATTTGAGTCCTCGAACTGATTTCGTGGCTCGCCGTTGGATACGCTCCAAAGTGACCTTATCCTTTTGGAGTGAGGGGGGGAGTATTATGTTTCCGTACTCTAAATGGGGACGGATGAAACTATTGAAGATTGTGTGGAAAGTCCTTCCGTCAAACTGACCAAAAATGCGCCTCAACGTTACCAGTGCAAGGTTTGCTCGGAAGGCATTTTTGTCACAGTTAGCGTAAGACTTTAAGTCATGGGGCACCAGGACTCCTAAATCTTTTTCGACTTGGGATACTACTAGAGAGGAGTTTCCTAAGTTGTAACTGTAGTTTGCGACATGTCGCAGATGGACTACTTTACACTTTGAAGTGTTAAAGGTAAGTCCGTTATCGTCTGCCCAACTTTGAAGTCGAGTCAGATCCTCTTGAAGTGCCTGTATATCGTCTTGGTTGCGTATCTCTCTCCAAAGTTTCACGTCGTCGGCAAGAAGTTATAAGTCTGACGTTACCTGTTGAGGAAGATCATTTATGTAGATCAAGAAGAGAAGAGGTCCTAGTACTGAGCCCTGGGGGACCCCACTAGGACATTCCATAGCTTGAGATAAAGTGAAATTAACCCTAACCTTAAAGTGTCGATTTTTTAGGTATGAAGTAAGCCAGTCGATTAGAGGTGGTTTGATACCTAGTCGTTTGAGCTTGTTGATAAGACACAAGTGGTTAACCTTATCAAAAGCTTTTGAGAAATCAAGGTAAATGACATCAACCTTTCCCTTGCGATCGAGGATGCTTGTCCATCTGTCCACCGCAGTCAGCAGGTTGGTTATACAAGAGTAACCCTTCCTGAAACCATGCTGTTGGGGTGAGAAGAAATTTAAGGACAGTAGGTAGTCATTTAGACCGTCGCATATCAGGGACTCCATGAGTTTTGAAGGTAACGACAGAAGAGCTACCGGCCGATAACTTGAAGGTTCATTGCGTCGACCACCTTTGAAAATTGGTGTGATGTGAGCCAACTTCCAATTTTCCGGTAGTTTGCCTCGGCTAAGCGAGTGTGAAAACATCACGCTAAGCGGCGTTGCCAGGATTGAGGCTGCCTCCCTCAGTATGGCAGGATGAACCATATCCGGGCCAGGAGAAGTGTCAAGTCTTAAGTGCTGCAGTTTCCGGAACACCAAGTCAGCGCTTAGGTCCACTTCAGAAAGTCCTGTGGAATTGCAGATGAAACTGTCGTCGATAAAGTTGATATCAGCCGGTTGAAATGTTTGAGAGTAATGGGCCGCCAGAAGGTTGGCGGCGTCGCCATCGTTGTTGGTCGGGCCGTTAGGTCCTAGCAGTTGAGAAACTCCTGTTTTGGCTTGACGAAGAGAGGCTGCATAACGGAATAGGCTTCTAGGGTTAGAGGCGAATTTGTCCATAAGCTTTGTTTGGTACTGAAGCCTGTCTTTTCTTATAGCCTTCGTGCATGTGTTCCTGATATGTTTGTATTGCCTATACGCTCCATCGTTATTAGTTCGTTTGTATTCCGCCCAACAGTGCCGTTTGCGGCTTAGGAGGCGAAGGGTACGGTTCTTGATTACTGTAGGTGGCTTGAAGCTTTTGGGAACCGTTTGAGGAACTGAATGGTCTGTAGCACGTAAGAGCGTGTGCAGCAAGAAGTCCCAATGACCATCCACATCGATTTGAGGGTGAACATCCCAAGCCACCTGTTGTAGATGGTCATGTAGAGCTCGCACATTCAGCCGTTTAAAATTCCATCGCAAATTATTGTTGGGATACCTTAGCTTAGTTTTGATGACAAAACTGAAGGCTATGACGGCATGATCGCTTTTTCCCAGAGGAGCCAGGATTGAGAGGTTGTCGACTAGGAATTCTTCGTTAGTGAATACACAGTCTAAGCGCGATGGTGTCTGACTGTTTGTCCAACGAGTTGCCGACCTCACATTTTCATATAAGCCCAAGTTATCGATGAGGTTGAAGAACCGAGCTTCAGTTGAGTTGTCGCCTCCAGTGTACGTGTGTTCCGCGAAGTTGACTCTAGGGAGATTAAAGTCCCCTAGAATCAGGATGTGTGTGAAACCGAGACGGATAGAGCGGGATAGTCCTTCCAGCATACGACTATCGTACTCGGTGTCGGCAGTTGGCTTCCTGTAAATGACTCCGACTAGACACCTGGAAGTACTAGACAACCTTACAGAGCACCATATGGATTCCTCAAGATTGTTAAACTCGAGGTTGTGAACCTGGTGCACCTCCAAGCAAGAGCTAATGTATATGGCTACTCCGCCCCCAATTCCTATTTTTCTGTCGTTGCGGAACAAAGTCATCCCAGGTAATGCTAACTCTTGATCCGAGAACTGAGAAGATATCCAGGTTTCAGATATTCCTATCAGATGGGCCTTGCTAGCGTTGCTAAGTTCACGTAGTTCATCCAGTTTGTTTGGTAAACTCGCGGCGTTCGTATATAAGCAGTTTATGCTTTCAATTTGGAACGCATGAGCTTCGTCCTGTTTTTCTGTATGAACCTTATGTGAATGGACAGGTAGCCCACCTATATGAGGTTTGCCGAGGTGGTAGGCCCTGTCCTTTACACGTTTTTTTTATCGTTTAGACAGTCCACAAGTGGAATGGTCAGCTCCAGCTTGCCTTTGTTCTTGGTCCTGACTTCGTATGGCCTATCCGGGTGCATGTGGATTCCAGGTGGCAATCGACGTCTATTAGCACGAAATGCTTCCAGAACTGCAGATTATGCTAGAGAGCATCAAAGGTTTTCCACATTTGCCCTTTGAGTTTATGTAGCTTTTATTCATGCTGTGACAGAGCTGTCACTTGCACCAAATTGTCGTTGTTTAGACAGTCTGTGGGTTGTATGGTATTTGTGGTCTTCCAACACTGAACTCAAACTATGTTTGCCTTATCCACTCATTACTAACACCAACTTAAGGCTATTGTGCGAGCTACAATTGGAATAAAATAGAGGAAACCCTAGTGCAATAAAGTCTTACTCGTGAAGTCTTCACGAGCAGTAGAGCAACGTCAAGAGATGCAGTTTCATGGAAGCCGGTCACCAACAGTAGGTTCATACGCCATTTGTTACCTCAGGATCCTACAGCCCATGTGCACCTCTGGTTTGGAATCAGGGTTTTCCAACTCCCCTAGGTGGATCCTCCGTATTCGCTAACCATGTTAAAGCGCCAGACATTTGCTTTTCGTTCTCTCAATTACGTAAACAAACAGCTATGGAAACAGCAGCGACATCTATTAGTGATTTAAACCAAAGGGTCACGAAAAAGTAGTAGATTTGTACTAAGTTTATTGCACTGATGGATTCTCGCAAACTCGTCTCATCAGGCTTAAAACACGATAAGAAGCGAAAACAAATCAGATTTGGATTAGGCAAAAGTCTAGGGAACGACCGTGAGCATTGCTGGGCAACGAAAGCAAAGAGATGGAAAAGGCAGCAGCTGTTGCTAACATCAGACAGTTTTTCAGACTAATAAAAGAAATTGGAATTAATAAGTCGCGTGTAAGTGAGATGGTCTCAGAAAAAACGACAGTCTTATTTGCTCTCAGTCCAGACGTGTAGGACATTAGGCGGAACACTAGGGAGCAGTTCAACTGGCCTCCAGCTACTCTGCAACTACCCACCATTCCCAAACAGCGTGAATGAGGCTTTGAAGTAGGTCCCCCGACTCTAGATGTTCAAAAGGCTGTAGCTAATCTGAAACGAGGAAGAGCAGATGGATTGTCTGCAGAGGTCTTTAAGGTTGGTGGTCCAGTTTTAGCGATTGAGTTGCCTAATATTTTAGCTAAAATCTGGGAACTGGATATAATCCCATCTGACGGGTCTCAATCACTGATTGTTCCAATATATAAAAATGGGTCAAAATCCTCCTGTCTTAACCATAGAGGGATTACATTAATATAGCATTTAAAATACTAGCCTCACTAATAATTGGGTGCCTAACAAATACTCGTGAACTGCAAATACGAGAAAATAGGGCTGGCTTCAGACCTGATTGTAGCTGCATCGACTACATACTCACTGTTTGTCGGATTTCAAAACAAAGACATGCCTATCGGCGTCTGACAATGATTGTTTTTCTTGACTTAAAAGTAGCATTTGACTCTGTAGACCAAGAGGTTCTGTGGCAGTGTCTGTCATTGATAGGCGTACCACAGAAGTACATAAACCTTGTGAAGGCTCTACTTGAACACTAGCAGTCGAGTCAGAGCTTATGGCGAACTATCATCTGATTATGCAACCTCAAGTGGTGTCCGTCAAGGCTGTCCACTATCTCCATTTTTGTTTAACTTTATCATAGACCTACTGCTGGGAATAACGTTGTTGTCGACTAAATTTTCAAGAATCAACCTTCCAGGAGGTCCATTTATCGACTTAGAATGCCCAAATAGCATTGTCCTGTTTGATGAAGACGTTGATAAAATGCAGTCTTTTGGAAACACCGAGAAACAATATCAGAATGTTAGGGATATGTTTCTCCCCCTGTAAATGAAGGTTGTTGCTTCAGGACTGGTCTGTGTCAACACTTGAACTAGGGATAGGGAGTGAAGTAGTCGAACGCATCGTCAACTTCACTCATCTTGGGAGTCTAATCAGCCCAAATGGGTTGGTGTCTGACGAAATCTCAGCACGGATTCGAAAAGCTCGCTTGGCTTTTGCCAACTCACGTCACCTATGGCGAAGGCGATTTATCCGCCTATCAACTAGTGGACGAGTATACTGCGCGGCAGTTCGTTCTGTTCTGCTTTATAGCTACGAAACGTGGCCATGAAGAGTAGAAGATGCTCGTAAGCTACTAGTATTTGACCACAGATGCCTTAGAAATATTCCTTGCATCTGCTGGAATCACCGCGTAAGTAATAGTGAGGTTAGACGCAGGGGATTAGGGAATGATAGTAAATCAGTTGGTGAGGTTGTGAATCTTGATCGACTGAGATGGTTGGGTTACGTGTTGCGTTTGCCTGAACACCAATTACCACGACGCGCAATACTGACTAGTGTTGGGGATGGTTGGAAGAGAATTAGGGGAAGCCAAACCAAAACGTGGCATCAGTGCTTAAGGTCACTAACTTCTGATCTTAGCCATGTTGGTAGATGCAGACTACTTGGTTGGGGTCCGCGTTACTCGTAACCAGTGGTTGGAGAATCTGTGTGACATGGCTCAGAATCGATCACAATGGCGTCGGTGTATACACTCTTTGTCTTTTCTTAAACTATGAGATTAACATTATTTCATATCTTTCTTTCTACGAACTAATTCTTTCTACCTGTATTATATCCTTATATGCAATCTTTCTTTTATATATTACCACGATCGAAGTAAGTAATGCTATGAATTTGGTGTTCATTTTGTTGTGCTAATGAGGTGTGGCAACTTGGACCGATGCATATATGTGCCTGGTCCTGCGTTGTAGCTGACTGACTGTCTGTTAACTAGATAGGTGTTCGAGTCGAAAGTACAATAATCTTTTTAATTGTTGGGGCTCTTTATTAGAATAATCCAATTTTATTTTGGGTTTTAACCTTATATCGTGTTTCCTGTTTTTTAGTGGTTTCTTAAAAATAACATTCGGACAGTAAAAAGGAAATCCACCCAACAATAGCTTCTTAACGCCAAGCAACTATATTGACGTGCCATGTTACATATGTTTCTTATTTGTATGGATAGTTCATCCCATTCATTTTATTTACACTTTTCTAGTTAAAGATATGTAGTTTACAAGTAAATAAGTTTATGGATGAACATTCTTATTCATTTTTTGAGTTACAGCAAATGAATGCCTTATAGAAGCATGCCCATTTAAACTCTTTATACTTACAGTAATCTATTTTCTGTGATACATTTATAATTCTTGTAATTGAATGCTAAAGCGCAAAGCGGTCAGACGTTGTTCTGCACATTATTATGTGACTGCTGAAGACCACGTGGAAAACGAAGTAAAACACGAAAAACTTCTAACAGAAACTTCTCGATTATCATCTTCATGGGCTGGTCTAAGTGTTTCATGCAGTGAATCTAGCGATAGAGATTGTTCATCGTCTTCTACATCTGTGAATAGCAGCCCTAATCATCGTCCAAGTTCTTTCAGTGGGCCTCTGGTAATTTCCGTCACTTGTTCTTATCCTATCTGCTCCGGAGTTAGCAACTGTGGTCCTTCTGTTGCCACTGGTTCTAGTAAGGGTATGCCTTCGAGTCCTCCTCATTTTCCTCGATCATCTTCTTGCTATCCGTCACCGGTTGCGTCACCTGTCTCTTCACGCGTTCAGTGTTATTCACCTTCTTTACCAACCTCAACTGTTTCTCCCAATCCCCGTCGATTTAGCAATACCGGTGGTGCAAGTCCTTTGCTTGTTTCAGCTGCTCTTGGACGCAAACGAGGGTATTTGTCTTGTGTGTCTGGGGGTGCAGGTTCTAGTGATGATGCTAGTCGTGAGGGATCACCAGAATCTTCATGTTGCCACAGAAATAACAAATCTTCATGTCAAAATGATGTCCGGATATGTAGCAGTGGCACAAATCCATATTCTGACTTCCCCTATTTCCGTTGGCCACCGAGTTTACCTGTAGTATCGAGTCCTTCTAGCCCATCATGTCAACTTTTTTCTGTGGCTACAAACTCCAATAACTCCAGTAGCCCATCTTCAATTCCTCCTTCTCCTCATGTCCTGCCCTCATCTCCTATATCTTCTATCTCCCATTCTTCAATACCATCCGGTGTTGTTGAATGTACACGCTCTCCAAACGACCTTAATGTCTCTAATGCATTAAGTACAAATGAGATTACGGATTCTATGATGGACTTAGATGTTAAGAAGTGTTCTAATTCAAATTAGTCACATGGATTGTAATCATGTCTTCTTGTTACATTTCAATGTTAATAAATACTGAAAATATCCCTTTCATCGACGTCAAATGTCTTACTGTATGTCTGAATTTTTGTCTTCGTTAAACTTTTCTATCTACCTCTAGGGCTTTTATTTTCCACTTTCAATGAGATTTACTCTGTGTATCCTTATAATACCCAATTTACTACTTTTTTATAATTCATTTTTTGCTGAATATTAAACTGATGTCTTGTAAAGTGTTGTTCAGCTCAAGATCTTTCGCTATCCCGATGGTAAACCACATTTGGTAATTATGCTTATATTATGAAAAATGGTACATTTTTATAATCAGTGATTAACCGACTCTTAAAAAACTTCTGTTTTCCCAAAAACGTTAGTTTTTATTGTGGTTTTCATTATTGGTGGAAGTTCGTGAATCTCGTGCGTTCGATGCATATTTCAGTTTAATAACTAGATATTTACGTCTTTTGATTATGCTCACTTGAGTAATCATATCGACAAAAAATTTCACACATTATGTATCTGTTTCATTTAACACCCAGATTATTAGGAGAGGCTTTACATTATGTGAAGTACAGTTTGAGGTGTTTTCATTAATAAATTTAATACAGTTCATCATAATGTATAATACCTGCACTTTTAAATTATTTATTCATAGCTCTCTCATTCAAAAGCCTTGGTGTATTTTATTTCCTAAGATCAAAACTGTTAAAGCTTTAAACATCTAGCACTAATAGATTCCTTCGAGCTCTTAAAATATTGCGTCATTAGTTGAGTGTTTGATGGTTTTCCTACAAACTACAGTCAAAGAGACAATCAAGCATACTTTCTATACATTCCTTTCTGAGAGCTGGCAAGTCCACGAATAAGCACATTACACTTGTTAATCATGCATCAGGCATCAAAAATCCTTATCAACAATCTTATTTATTTTTCGTGACACTAGATCAGAGATTTATTATAGAAACATCTAGTCCCATAAATAATGTGTAAGTGAAAACTTATTTGTCTCAGTGATTCAGTCAAAAACAGTTTTCTATTACAATGTAAGTACGCTAGTAAATTCTCACTCTTCAATCTTCCGGGTTCAAATCATGCTGTTCTTACGAAAGGGGTATTCTGAAAGTGATATCTACGTGGTATGACTTGAAAAGCTTCGGCGGTGATCCTATTGTTCCACTCAGTTAGTATTTGACAATTGATCGGATGTTAATACTTTAAATTTAACAAGACGTTTTAGTGATGAGTGTATTTTCGTAATATTACTAATGGTGGAAAAATAGTCCTACTGGCCTCTTGTGTGCCATTTATCCTGGCTACGGTTTCTTTTAGATTTCAAGAAAGTGACATTTAATTCCCCATGCTCTGTCTATTTTTCAGTAGTAGTTCAGTAGGTGTCGACTTGTGTTAACCATTCCCGAATGTTTCATAAAAAATAGCCCGCGTAATTAACAAGTTCATTTCCATTTGACTCAAAACAGCAGTTTCCAACCAATAAACTTAAGCATTCATGAAGTACATTTATTCACTACCGACAGCTATAATCTCTGGTGCCCGGTTTTCTAAGGCGTGAAAGTCGAGTTTAACCCCACTAAATTAGCATAAAGCGTTGGCCATCATATTTTCCTAGGAAAGGTAGTAATCTTAATAAGGTAAGTGCGGATATATCAGTCTGATTGTTGTTGTTCCATCATTCTTAGATTCAATGGTAGTTTCCAACTTAGTTGTCTAATAGTAATCGAAAACTTAGAACTTTCGTATGTTTCACGCTAATTGTTCTGTATTCATCAAATTTAAACCAACCATCAGGCTTTTTTAAAAATGCTTACCAGCTCTAGTTGTGTTGATCACTTCTAAAATTGAAAATAATGTCGAATTCCAAACATGCTCCCTGAGAATTCGGTTCCGTGTCACCCAACTTCACAATTAGAAACGTTACCATCGAAATATCTGGGACGCGATTGATCTGCAGGCTCAAACTTTTCTGCCGTCTACTTCCAAACAGTATCTGCAAGTCAACATAGTTCACGTGATATGGAGCCACTTAGATTAGTAGATTGTAGCTTAATCGATAAAAGCCGATCAGCACTAAAAAGGACTTGACATACATAACATCGGTTACTATTGAGTGATCACTCAGTTGTGAATTTCAGTGATATGAAACTTACATTTATTAGAAATTAATTGTCGTTCAACCTAATATTAACTACAACTCAGTATCGAGCGACTCCTTAGTCTTACCTTTCGGATTGATAGAGAGTTGACTTAATGGTTATACTATTCAATTAGTATTAGGCTGAAGGTCCGACTTTCTGTCGGTTTTGGTTTGGGTAGTCAGGTAGTTTAACCTGTCCTTACAATAAATATACTTCTCGAAGGCTAGTACATAAATTTTTGTTTAGTGAGTTGAATACCGCCTATATCAAGATTCAAATCCCAAACTGCCCATTTTCGTTCACACATGCTTGATTATCGTAGTGTAATAGCTAATTCCTTTGGGATAGTAAGATAATTTAAAGATTTTTATAAGCCATGGATGTTTGAGTCTAGAAGTATGATGTTCATACTAAGAATCGATTTATATAGACCAGTCGCACTATTCCGAACATCACAATGGCGTTTTCATAAACACTATCAAATTGTTGTTTTTCTTATGTACGGATAGTAATGGCCGATTTCATCTGTTTGATATTTTATCTTCAAATAAGATAAAACTGTCAACTCACTGTGACATATAGTGTTTTTCAAAAGTGGCTTGAATCAACAGGTTAAATAATAAATATATATTTTGTTATATCCCAATAAGTAGAAAATTGTATTTCCGACATTTCGTAACTTAATGTAAGCCACTTCAGTTATTTATCTATTCCGAGGAAGTGGTTTACATTAAGTCACGAAACGTCAGAAATACAACTTTTCTACTCATTGGGATATGACAAAATATATATTCACTATTAAATCTCTACTCAATTTACTTGAAACTATCAAGTCCAGCCTGGGCATTAATACCTACAACAGGTTAGGTATTCAAATTAGTGGGTTCTGAGTTTAGATAGCTGACTATCATCAATTTTACTGACAGAAAGGTTTTACATCTTGGCATGATATATATTTTCGCGTCAATTTTTTGCCAGAGATATTTACAAATACATGAGTTTGTGTTATTAGTGTTACGTACCAATTGTACATTCCAGGAATGGAGACGCTGTCACATAGTTCACTTGTTAGTCAAGTGCATGGTAATGTTGTACAGCTTTGTTTAACGACCATGAAGTCTGTTCTTTACGTGCAAAACATATCTTGAGGTTGTTATCACTGCCGGTTTGCCGCTATTTGATAATTCATTAAGGTTATCTAACTGTAATTAACTGAAATATATAAAATAAGTTAGCCAATATATAGTAACTGAGCTTGTCAGTACTTGATACTTCCCGTCTAATTACTTGCTGAAATATATTTGTTAATCTAACACTTCACTTCCAACAAGGTCTTACCAGGAAAATAAGTATATGTGTTCGTATTTCGAATCTATTTACGAAATCAGAAAATGATCAGAACGATATACCTCGAAATCCCATGTCCTTGAGGTTAAAGTAACTGTGGAGTTAAATATTTGATAACAAATCCATGATGCCAAGTTCCAAAATTGTTGATAGGCATACCAACAGCCGAAAAATCGCTCTTGGTTAACATAGGTAAAATGAAGTAAGTAGCGCACTATATTATTTAGTTGTTACTATTATAACGAAACAACTAGTTGATAAAATTACTCAAGTGACTAAAGAGGATGAACAGACTACTCGTGGAACCAAAACCTAAACGCCAAAATGAATAGTGATCAAAATACAGAAACTGATCAGATCTCTGAATATACTGTTATTATTGGTTAATTAAGACTGTCATTTATGAAAAATATTTAAACAACCTAGTATGACTGAGTTATGCATCAGATGGCAAGTGATCACTAAACAATGAACATAAGAGTCAAAACGACTAGTGAGGTTTCATCGACACCTGTCGTGTCAGTTATTCATTAAGAAGGAAACATCTTACTACTGCTTTATGCAACTACTGCTGATTGTTGTTCCATACTAAATTTTTTATCGAGTACACTGTTCAACAAGGCACAAGCTGAATACACAGAAGTAAACAAACAAGTGAAGAGGAACATCAGAACCGACAAACGTAAATATGTGGAAGATCTAGGAACGACGGAAGAAAAGGCTGCAAGAGAAGGAAACATGAGAGAACTGTATGACACGACAAAGAAACTCTATGGAAGTCGCCTCAAAGCAGAACGACCAGTGAAAAGCAAGGAAGGCAAGGTAATCACCAACATTGAAGAGCAACAAAACAGGTGGATAGAACACTTTAAAGAACTCTTGAATCGACCAGCTCCACTGAACCCACCCAACATCAAATCAGCACCCACGGACCTCCCAATCAATGTTGGCCCACCAAACATTGAAGAAATCAGCATGGCCATCAGACAAATCAAGAGTGGCAAAGCAGCGGGACCAGACAACATTCCAGCAGAGGCACTAAAAGCAGACGTAGCGGCAACTGCAAGGATACTCCACATTCTCTTCAATAAGATTTGGGATGAGGAACAAGTACCAAAAAACTGGAAAGAAGGACTTCTGATCAAAATACCGAAGAAAGGCGATCTCAGCAAGTGTGATAACTACAGGGGCATCACTCTTCTCTCAATACCGGGGAAAGTCTTCAACAGGGTATTGTCAAACATAATGAAGGACTGCGTAGACGCCCAACTTCGTGACCAACAGGCAGGATTCCGTAAGGAAAGATCGTTTACAGACCAAATCATTGTGGAACAATCGACTGAATGGAATTCATCACTCTACATCAACTTCATTGACTACGAAAAGGCATGTGATAGCGTGGACAGAACAACACTATGGAAACTTCTTCGACACTACGACGTTCCTCAGAAGATAGTCAATATCATACGGAATTCCTATGGTGGATTAAACTGCAAAATCGTGCATGGAGGACAGTTGACAAAGTCGTTCGAAGTGAAGACCGGTGTTAGGCAACGTTGCTTACTCTCACCCTTTCTCTTTCTCCTGATGATCGACTGGATTATGAAATATCAACATCTGAAGGGAAACACGGGATACAGTGGACTTCTAGGATGCAGTTAGACGATCTAGACTTCGCAGATGATCTGGCCCTTCTATCCCAAACGCAACAACAAATGCAGGAGAAGACGAACAGTGTGTCAACAGCCTCAGCAGCAGTAGGTCTCAATATACACAAAGGGAAAAGCAGGATTCTCCGATACAACACAGAATGCACCGATCCAATAACAATTGACGGAGAGGATTTGGAAGATGTAAAAACCTTTACAGATTTAGGCAGCATCATTGATGAACAGGGTGGATCTGATGCAGATGTGAAGGCGCGGATCGGCAAAGCAAGAGCAGCATATTTACAACTGAGGAACATCTGGAACTCAAAGCAACTGTCAACCAACACCAAGGTCAGGATTTTCAATACAAATGTCAAGACAGTTCTACTGTATGGGGCAGAAACCTGGAGAACTATGAAAGCCATCATTCAGAAAATACAGGTGTTTATTAACAGTTGTCTACGCAAAATACTTCA